GGTCCGAGACAGGACAGAAACAAGTCAGAGACAGGACAGAGACAGAGACAAGTCAGAGACAGGTCCGAGACAGGACAGAGACAAGTCAGAGACAGGTCAAAGACAGGACAGAGACAGAGACAGGACAGAGACAAGTCAGAGACAGGTCAGAGACAGAGACAGGTCCGAGACAGGACAGAGACAAGTCAGAGACAGGTCAAAGACAGGACAGAGACAGGTCAGAGACAGGACAGAGACAGGACGGAGACAGGTCAAAGACAGGACAGAGACAGGAAGGAGACAGGACGGAGACAGGACAGAGACAGGACGGAGACAGGATAGAGACAGGATAGAGACAGGATTGGGACAGGACAGAGACAGGATTGGGACAGGACAGAGACAGGATAGAGACAGGACAGAGAAAGGGCAGAGACAGGATTGGGACAGGATAGAGACAGGACAGAGACAGGACAGAGACAGGATTGGGACAGGACAGAGACAGGATAAAGACAGGACAGAGACAGGATTGGGACAGGATAGAGACAGGACAGAGACAGGACAGAGACAGGATAGAGACAGGATTGGGACAGGATAGAGACAGGACAGAGACAGGATTGGGACAGGACAGAGACAGGGACAGGACATGATAGAGACAGGACAGAGACAGGACAGGGACAGGATAGAGACATGATAGAGACAGGACAGAGACAGGACAGGGACAGGACAGAGACAGGATAGAGACAGGATAGAGACAGGGACAGGACAGAGACAGGACAGAGACAGGACAGAGACAGGATAGAGACAGGACAGAGACAGGACAGAGACAGGATAGAGACAGGATTGGGACAGGATAGAGACAGGACAGAGACAGGATTGGGACAGGACAGAGACAGGACAGAGACAGGGACAGGACATGATAGAGACAGGACAGAGACAGGACAGGGACAGGATAGAGACATGATAGAGACAGGACAGAGACAGGACAGGGACAGGACAGAGACAGGATAGAGACAGGATAGAGACAGGGACAGGACAGAGACAGGACAGAGACAGGACAGAGACAGGATAGAGACAGGACAGGGACAGGACAGAGACAGGACAGGGACAGGACAGAGACAGGATAGAGACAGGATAGAGACAGGGACAGGACAGAGACAGGACAGAGACAGGACAGGGACAGGACAGAGACAGGATAGAGACAGGACAGAGACAGGACAGGGACAGGACAGAGACAGGATAGAGACAGGACAGAGACAGGACAGAGACAGGACAGAGACAGGACAGGGACAGGACAGAGACAGGATAGAGACAGGATAGAGATAGGATAGAGAC